GACATACGCCTTTGCGAGACACATGTTGCTTACAATAACATGACAGAATATCAGGCAAAATAACTGTTACGAGTTAAAAGTACGGTCACAACAGTATATGTCATTTTATGTTTCATCGAAAGGCCCACCGACTAAACTACTCGTGGAATGCCTGCAGGTAGAAGCAATAAAGCTGCCGTGTAGGGACCACATTACGGTGCTTCGCGATAGAAAATGCAGGCCTTATGGGGATTTAGGACCCTAAAGCAGGGGGCACCTGAGCGATGAAAACGGGCGCTTCGCGGCAGCGCTTGGCAATATAGATGGCATCGAGCCCTCGCGTGCCAATGTGTCTATGACGTATATGCCTCGCGGCACGGTGCCGCTAAGATCTGGTCGGTTCAGATATCTGCGCGTGGTGCACCCGGTGCACCTAGCCACGAGCGATGGGAAAGTAAATATGGCGACCGTTCGTATGGTCTGTCCCATTATGGTTTAGTGCCGTGTGCGGCTCCGACGCTCTCGTGAGAATCTTGAAGTCATCTGCGAAGTAATTAGAAGTCCCATGAGTGACACGAAAGGTGTTGGGAAATCATCATCTCAACTATAGCAACACACGGGCCTTCATAAACAGCAACGGCGGTGCCGAAAATCGGCGATATGACGCCGAGAGGGATTGCTTTGGTGGTTTGAGTTCATGGTGGCGAATTTGTTCGCGGGAATGTTACTGCCACAGCCGATGAAGGAGCTAACACGGGAGGAGCAGAAATAATGTTAAGATGGTGCACTTTGTATCGGAGAAACCTTTTTCGTCATTAGCCATTAGTCAAGACATTCAGTCGATGCCGCCGGGAAACGAAGACACGTGATGAATGTGATTTCGGAATTTCTTTGCTGGATCGGTAATTTGGACTGCGTTTCCAGGTATTTTACTCACATGCATAGTGTTTTTATGACGCTCGATGGTAACGTTCTGTCGCTGCTTATTTTAATTTCAAGGTCATAACACCTGATAGTTATAGCATTCGGTGCGATTTCCCTGGCATACTTTGAATAAAAGATATCCCTGTACTTTCGAACGAAAGCGCCAACTGCTTCATGAAAACTGGTCGCGTCTCGTGCAAGCGATTCGCGCTAGCCTTCTCTGTTGCCTCTCTGTCCAGAACTTTTTTGCGGCGCTCAGGGTCTGTTTATGTCCGGCGCTATGTTCTCTTCAGGACCGACACGCCGTGCGCTTCCAGTTGTCTCAGCGAAGTTGGATACGTTGCATTCGAATTTCGAAAATAAATTTATAGTATGCACAAGTATTCATTGGACCGATTTCAATATTTCTTTCGTTTTATTTCAACTTAATCGGGTAAAAAAAAAAAAAAGCACGGCGTTGTTTGTGTTTTGAACATATGTACCTTTTGCGGTATTGTTTCCTTCGGCATTATTATTTCAATCATGACATAAATATGCACAACAACGTATGTGTCGGTTTTATGTTTTATTCTTAATCTGACTATTTTAATTTACGTATTTTGGCATAGGGAGCGTTTTAAAGAAAAGTATCACTCTCAGAAAAAGGGAGTTCAGTACTTACCCCCCTGGTCCCTTATATAACACCCCAAAAACTATATTTCGGAATTCAGTTTCCAGACGTTGAACCGAGGATACCAACTTTTACGAGCGTCTTGAGAGTCGTGTAATACTACTTATTATCATAGCTAATGTACACATTAAAGACTACAGGCAAACATACAAGGTTTTCATAACCCTGCTAATAAAGTTTCAATTTTTTAGCGCAGTTTTAAGGCATTTGTTTCTGCGTATAACGGCATCGCCGTCGCCGTCGCCGTTCTTGTAATTGCACGCGTTGCATTATGGGCCGTCAAAAACCCATACCAGATCTTAATTTCCAGCTAAATTTAGCGGCGAAACTAAATTGGCGTGTAGGTCTGCGACGTTCCATAATGCGACCTGCGCATTCAGTTTCCCCGCTAAATTTAGAGGTAAAACTGACGTCACCTAACTTAACACCAATTCAGTTTACCCTCTAAATTTAGCGCGGAATCCGATTGGTGTTGAGGTCACGTGACGTCAGTTTTCCCGCTAAATCTTGCTTAGAAAATGAATTTGTTCATAGGTGACCTGACGCGAGGTCATTTGACGTCATTTTCCCCGATAAATTTAGCGAGGAAACGTAATTCATGTTGAGGTCACACGGCGTCAGTTTCTTGGCTAAATTTAGCGGGGAAAGTGTGGGAGGACGAGAGAGTATCGAGGAGGAGGAGGGGAGTGTAAGAAAGAGGAGAAGAAGGGGAGAATAGGAGGGGAGAAGAGTAGGAAAGGAAGAGGAGGGGAGGGGAGGAAGGGAGACGGGGAGGGGAAGAGAGAGGAGGAGGAAAGGAGGAGAGGAAAGGCATACCCTCCCCTCTGTACCTTCGACCCTTTCCTCCTCAAGAACTGCGCTCTAATTTCGCGTTACAAAGATTTGTAAACGTCTTTCATTCCAGAGCGCAGCTCTCAGGCGGCCGTTTCCGGGTTGAGCGCCGTGGCCGTCGGCGTTCGCATAACCACGCTAAATTTAGCGGGAAAATTTACGCCATGTGACCTCGACAACAATTTAGTTTCCCCGATAAATTTACCGGGAAGATTGATGTCCTGTTACTTCAGCACCAATTCAGTTACTCCGCTAACTTTAGCTGGGAAAATGATATCACCTGACTTGGTGTCACTTCACCTATGAAGAAATTCAGTTTCTCCACTAGATTTAGCAGGAAAATTGTCGTCACGTGACCTCAAAAGCAATTTAATTGTACGCTAAATTTTGGCGGGAAAATTGACGTCACGTGCCCTCCACACCAATTCAGTTTCCCTGCTAAATTTACCGGGGAAACTGACGTCACATGACTTAGTGTCAAGTCACCTCTGGAAAAATTAAGTTTCCCCTCTATAGACCTTTGCAAAAAGAGCGCTCTGGCCGCCGCCATTTTGGGAATCGAGCGACCCCTATCAGCCAGAAATTTCTGGCACCCGCCTGAGTTGTGAAAACCCGGTCAGCGTGACTCCCCACCTGCATTTTGCATTCGGAGTTCGCCGGCTTTTCTTGGAAGTTTTTACTTTATTCGCCTGTTTAGGATGCTTACCCTTTGTATGTTATCTTCCACTGTGAGTACCAGGGAATACCAGGGCTCGTAGCCCGCTCGGCCTTCGCAGGAAACGAACGAAGAGAGCGAACGTCAAGCAGCCTGCGAGGCAGGCAGTTCGACGTGCTTGGAGGATTATTTCCGTCGAGATAATCTCCAAAAAGCCTTCCAGGCTGTGTTCCGGGTCTTCGCAAAAACTAGCTGATAGGGTCGGGTCCGGGGTGTGGCGACGGAATAAGCACGTTCGTTCATTTGCTTTGAAGCTGTGCAAAAAAGGAGCTCTCTTCTACATGTACCCCAAAACACGCCGGATTCCGTCCGATTGTCGTGAAGTGACATCGTCGACACTCTATATTGGATATGCTGTGTTATTTGAGGCCTTTCTCAAATCGTGTTCGGATAACGCGGCACTGTGGGGTACGTACAATATATTTTTTGTTCGATTGATGAGACTCATTGAATTTTACGTTGTGGGTGGGGAATATCCATGCAGTACGGATATCCTGTGCGGTCAAATATCTTGACCTTTATAGATTGACACGGCTGAGTGTACGGTGCCCTAAAACAATGAACATAAAATGAAACAAACATTCCAGTTGCATTTGTTCTGTCGCGCACGGACTCACCAAAACAGCTTTCATTTCTTCGTTTTTGTTCCCGAAAATAGAGCTCCGCTTTCTTAAAGACCTCTATTAATTATGTTCGCCACAGAACACAAGATAAAAAAGAAAACGCGGCAATTCAGCGGCGACCAGCGTCCGGAATTGCGCCTACGCAGGCTGCCAGAGCCCACTGACGAGAAACTCCACAGCTCAGCGCAGTCGGGCAACACTGACGTACACTCTCAAAACCAGGGACACGCGCTGTAAATCGCTTCGTTCGAGACTGTCACTGGAAAAGTCTATATTTAGCAGAAAAATTGACGTCTGGCGTGAAGGAGGAGGAGGGAAAAGCACGGAGGAGGAGGAAGAAATGAGAATGAGGAGTAGGGAGAGAAGGAGGATTAGGGGAGATGAGGAGCAGGAGAAGGAGGGGAGGAGGATTAGAGGAGGATGGGGGAATAGGAGGAGGCGGAGAACGACGAGGAAGAAAGGAGGAGGAGGAGCATTAAAGGAGGAAGAAAAGAGGACGAGGAGCAGAGGAGGAGGGTAGGAGGAGAGGGTACAAACGAGGAGGAGGGTCATACTCTGCCTCCTCCGTAGCCTCCCCTCCTCCTCCTCAAAAGCTTGGCTCTAATTTCGCGTGAGAGAATTGAGAACTTTTTTATACTTACATAAGTTATACCGCACAGCTATCAAGCCACTCGTAAAAGTGGGTATCGTCAGTCCGAGGTCAGTGGACTGAACGTCGAAATGAAGTTTTGGGGTGATATTTATATACAAGGGTTGTAAGTACTAGACCGCCTATTTCTGAGAGAGTAATGCCAGTTGCTCTACATTCGGTGCCAACGGTCACCCAGCAACTATGTGCGTCGCGGGACAGGCATTTGCGTGTATGTGTCTTGGACACACAAATATGGCAGCGTATCACCAGGTGGTGTGTCATGCCGAGAGCCTCGCGGCACCCAGTTTCACCGCTCGTGTGTCCCCTGCTTAAAGGGGCGGTGCAACAATTTGCGGACTTTGGCTAATTAATTGCGGGAATTGATCCCGGCCACATATGAAACGAAGGACCGAAAACTATTCTTTCCTGCTTGCCATAGTTTTCATTAAAAAAAATAAAAGAAATTGGTATCTCTGGCACCCCTCAACTCAACATTGAAGCGGCACCAGCTTCGCCTGTGACGTCACTCGGAGTGGCGTTGGTTTCCGGTTTGGTGCTTCTGGCTTCCGTGTCCCCAGCGCTCACCGGCTCGCCGCTCTCCCGCTCTCCCGTCGATTCCCGAACAACATGGCGGCATGGGTGGACGGTCTGAGCGACGTCGAGCGCAAGATGCTTGCCTATAGTAAGTCAGTTGGACTTGTGCCGTACGCGAGCACGCCTCCAAAACGGCATAGGGAACAGCAATTCTCTTCCGAGGACTCGGCAGCTCCGCCTGACCCAAGTCCCGACCCAGACGGGTGGCGGCTCTCGTCGACAGCATGGTAAGAAGTGCGCGTCACATTCCTCAAATTCGCTAGGCTATTTTGAGCTAGCATTTGCCTAACGTCTATTTCGTTCCAATTACAGGTGCTCCTGTAAGCGGTGCAGCGTCATGCCCACGTCGAGGGAGTGCCTCTGCTGCCGGGAATGTCCGCCTGCGGTTGCGACTCAGCCGGAGGGGTGCGTTACCGAGCATATGGACTTTGCCCTAATCTGCCTCCAACCTGCTGTGCTGAGGATAGCTTACTGGGCTCTGGACGAAGCAGGTCTGCAACCGGCGCCGGGCGAACAGACGTGCGTATTTGGCCTGTAATTGCTTTGAAGACAGCTGTTGCTGGCCGCCATGCTAGCTTCGCTCTACACCGCTGGCATGCACACACGATCGCAGGTTTTGAGCCCACTTCATACAGCTGAAGGACTGGAATCTTCCTGACGCCAATCCATAGCTAAACAATTGCAGGTTCGGTGTCTGCAGTAATTATGTCGCGCAAAGTACTGACATCACGAATATCTGTAAACAAGCATGCTATCTGTAGTTTTCGCTAACATCCAAGTTACCCTCTTGGAACAGCTGACGCCTGCCTTTTTTCCCCTTTTGAGGTTCTTAGTCGGTGTGGTCACCAGTGCAGGATCGAATGGTTGCAGCAACACATTCACGAAGACCACTATTATGTTCTTCCAAAATTAATACTTGAACTTGAACCATTTGAGATATCAGAACTTTTTTTATATTCTCTAAATATAGCAGTGGCCCATTTATCTTGTAGGAATTGCAAAACCTGGGGGGCAAACAAAAAATTGTGAGCATGTGAATAGCACCATTTCATAGTGTAGGGTGTTTAGTAATAAAAACTAACCGTAGTTTTGCATTACCAAAAAGCTCTGCATCACCGAAGGTAGATTTTCCAGCATGTAGCATTTTGCACATAGTGCCACATTCAAGCTTTTACAATTTTCTCAAAAATTTCTGAAAATCACTTATATTGCCACATTCTGAAACTTTGGTATCTAGTCCAAACTCCTGGGACCATATTTATTGCACTCGGGTCTACAGTGCCACTTGGTGTATAGGTGAAGGCATTGCACCCATAAACAAATGCTCCTGTCACCAACCGGGTAGCTTGCTTATGAATGACGGAACAGACAGCTTTGAAACAAAGTGTTTATTACATGCATTCAATAATTTTACATACACAGTACAATAAGACACACACCTAATGCTATATGACTCCCAGTAATTCACTGCTTTCAAGCCAGCACATCTCTGTGGTCCTCCAGTTCACGTCGAAATCTGCTGACTAAATCCCATTGCTTTTTTCTTCATATTCGACTTGTAAGTCGAATATGAAGTCGAGACTTCATATTCGAAGTCTCGACTTCATATTCTTGGACTTGCGTAGTCCAGATTCATACCCATGGGGGCATGAATCCCGACTTCTACTTTATAATTAGGGTTCAGTGTTTTCCGATAAACCCGAAAAACACCTGCCGGTAAAATTTTCGTCAATTCAGATTTATCAATAAACTCATAATTTCTATGTGCCAATCACTCCCTCTCCCCCCCCCCCCCCCCCCAGACACACACAAAAGTATTTGACAATTAATGGTTTGATCAGCGCGTAAAGTCAGTGGTCCTGCGAAAATGCCAACCCACTTATGTTTCAAATTTCGGTCAGGACAACAGGTCATTGTACTTTCGGGTCACAACAAAAGTCACTGTTTATGTTTCCAGTTTTGGGTCATATTACTTCCACTTTAGAGGGAAGGAGAGGTTGTGGTTTCGTAACGGTGAAAGCTATGGACCATAGAAATAGCGTAAAGCGGGGAAGAGGGACACTTGAAACTTGTCTATTACATCCTTTACTACTCTACCTCCCACAGTAGGTTGATGGAATAGTATTGTCAGTAGTAATGGCACTAATCAGGGGTGTGACATCTGTGCCAATTGCACCATTTTGATACAAACCGAATTTTCTGCGCTTAGTTGCGCCAAAAACGCAAAATCTGTCGAAATTGCGCCACACTGTGCCAAAGTAACTAAAAATACTTTTAAAAAAATGTCTGCGGCGACGCTAGATTTAGCTGGAAACGAGAGCTTGGTTGGCAACATCCAATTTCGTCATAGAAAAGTACACAGCACATGTACAAGGTGGTGCAACAGCCGCCGGATTCGAAGATTTCAGCTGTAGTACCATTCTCCACCTCTGATACGTGGTCGTTTTCCGATTTTCCTACTATTTTCCGCTGTCATTTGTGCCTGCATGCTACCGGTGCGCTGTCACGCGGTCTAACCGCGAGCACAGGCTATCAAGATTAGCAAGTATTAGCAAGTATTTCTTTTGTTTTGAGAGTAAACCTTTTCTTAAAAGTGCTATTAAGCACCTCCATTGAGTAATCGTTCATTTGTGTCCGTAATCTTCTCGTCAAATGGACGGTGCCGTCGCCGTGAGTACTTTCGGGCGTGCTTCCAGTGCGTGAACAATCGAATGAATCGGTCACACACTTGTATTTATCGTACATGTGCTGCTCATAAATTTTCTACCGTCTGGTTCTAGTAAACTGTGCTTCCCTGTTCATGCTCTCGAATCACCGCTTTAAAAGGTTTTAAACTACAATTGCGCTTTGGCACCAGTTCATATAAGCTTGAGGTACACCTGGTGCCCACCTAGCTTTGCAGCAAACCTGCGTTTTTTGTCCTCATCTATGTGCATTTGACTCACATTTGCCTTTCCCGTTTTTTTTTTTTTTATATATATTATTTTTCTGTGTATCGACGATTATGACTTACTGGAACCAGGGTAGAAAAAAAATGACGATTAAAAAAGAAAAATCAAATTTATCTGATTTGAATCAGATGTTTGATGATTTAAATTGCTAATAAGCTGCTCTAACATTTTCTGCTCTTAATCTGCTCCAAACTGTAGGCTTTTCTGCTCCGAAGTTGCTCCAAGATGCATAAACTGCTACTCCAGAACGAGAATTTTGTGCTCCTAAGCTGCTCCAAAATCCAGATTTTTCTGCTCCAGAAATTGCTCCAAAACCTGCTTCACCTGTCTCACCCCTGACCAATGCCAAATACAACTGAAGAAAATACTAACACAGTCGCCTTTCTTTTTTTTATCCAGTATACGTTTACACTTGGATATTTCTATTTATTTTTAAGAAGAAACACTGCGTAATCACACACTGAATTCCGGAGGATGGGGAATCAAACAGAAATAACCTCCGAAAAACACCCTCCAAATTTGAAGAAAAATAAAATCCGAAAACACGGAACCCTATTTATGATCATGCATGTGACAGTGACATTACTAATATTTGGTTCTTGTTAATTTCACAGACTTCGCTTTGTGGCGTACAAGCAGTTTACGCGCTGGATGTGGAAACGGCTGGGGCGCAACAACAGAAGAGTTCTGCCAGCCTGCGTAGTTTCAAGAATTCGCGAAGAATTTGCTTCAGACTCATACACCGGGTACCTGGACGCAGAATAAAGATGTTTGAAACTCTACTACAGCTGAGCACCTTTTACACCTTACAATTCTCTTGCATGCATACTGTAACTCAAGCCACTCCAAGAGCAAATCCTGTTATTGAAGCAGCTTGATGAATAAAAATATACTGATGTTTAGCGATCAAAGCCATTTTGTTTCTGTGCTCTGCAAAATAATGTGCCTTTCCTAGTGCTGAGAGCTTCCTGCATAAACCCTACAAAATGTAGCTGCCCACCCTATGCTCCTCTCAATTACATTTGATGAGTGATGCTCAATATGCTTGATGACTGATGCTAGCACCCCTCTCACCAATTCATGCTTTATTTCGCCCTATATATCGGATGAGCGTCCAACATGCAGTATGGTGTTGGACGCTCATTCAATATCCAACAAACAAAAGTGGTGGATGTGCAAAAGGTGATCTGATAGGCACCTAACACAGTTGAGACTTCCAAAGGGCATATTGCTCAGAACCCAACCAGGCTTTGGAAAAATGAAAACTCGCACAGAGTATGGCTCTCTATTACATTCAGGAAAATGCAGGAAGTTCTGCACATCAAGATGGGATGGTCATCGAGTCAACCAGACATTCCTGGTTCCATTCCCAGATTTCACGGAAGACATAAAGATTGTGCTTGACTCCTTTTCACAAAATTTCGAGATATGTGTTATGATCTCTCTATCAGTTTCATTGGTGAAAACGCCCTGCCAGCAGCTAGACTTGTTTTACTTCGGGGAAGCGCCCTGCCAACAGCTGGACTCCTTTTACTTCAGTTCTTGATGTTATGTCTGCTCCTGGAGAAATACCGACGCTCGGGTGCAGCGCGGGAACGGACATAGAGCTGTCGCACGGTGCACCCTGCGGGAGCTTGGAACGTCGGGTATCCTTAGCTGAGCCGCCGTGACTTCCTCACACGAGCCATCTCAAGCATACATATTCCTTATACCAATAAATAAGTTCTCATTTAGGAAACCCCGACTCGGGTCATTCCTCTAGCACGAGGCTGTAAGCCCCCGACACGGGCAACGAGAAGTTGGATCGAAGAATGGATGTAGTTTTGAGGTCGAGGCCATGGCTATTGGGGCATTGCAAGGTGTTGTCGAGCAATTTCAGGGCAAGGACTGAGCATTGTAATTCAAACAACTCTGTTTTTACTTCTTGGCAAGCGACGCCAAAAATCAACAAAAGGAGCACGCGCTCCACCTCACACTGTGTGGCTCAACCATCGAAACGGCTTGTGCGTCAGTTGCACCGAAGGCCTTGGATGAAGTCAGCTTCGGTGACTTAGTGACACTCCTACAGAAGCACTTCCATCCAGGACCATCTAAGCTTTACAGCCGGTATGTCTTCCAAGGACGCAACTGGTTGCCAAATGAGACTCAGCAGCTGCGTCAGAGCGTTCAAACGACTGACAGCTGACTGCAATTTCGAAGGGCTAACAACGACGACTGCAGCATCGGTGTTGACACAAGAAGCCAGAACGTTCATTTCACAAACGAACCCCACTATGCTGCCATAAGGTGTCATGCTTTGGGACAGATTCGTCTGCGACATCCGTGACGAACACCTCCAACAAAGACCGTTCACTGAAAAAGAGTCAACTTTTCAATGTGATCTGGAAATCTCTCTCTCAGCAGTGGTGTGATCGGCAGTCCGACCCACTTCAGTTCAGGCAACCATGAAGGACATTCACGGGCTGCTTCGATTCGTGCTTGCGCCGACCGAGTCAAGTGTGTGCACATGTGCGTGTTGTGCAAAGCAGCAGCGTGTGCCTGACGATAGGAAAGTTCGCAGCCTAGGGACAGCCAACCTTGACGGTCGCTAGATGAAGGCCACCGAGAATCACGTCACCAAGATGGGATGGTCATACAGAGTCAAATAGCCATGTGAAAAATTCCACACCTAGCAACTCGCCGGCATGACCTCAACAAGGGGCAAAGAGCCCGGGTGTTACAAAAGACGCGGCCCAGCAAAACATCAAGAAAAGCGTCGAGGCCAACTGATGTCAACAGCAGCCTTGAAAGAAGGAGAACGGAGGGGGAATTCCCCGTGCATAGCGGCCTCGGCTGGCGTAGATTGCCGAGCGCACGTGTCGACTTGGGGGAGGTCGAAGGGAAAGCGGCGCCTTTGTACCTTGCTACTGCTAGCGTCAGGTGCCGGATGAATGTTATGCAAGAAGCTGCTTTCAGAAGGAGCAGCAGCCTCGCCGCTGAATTTCATCAATACACGATGTTACTATGAACCCTCCTCTCCCGCGGTGAACTCTTTCTCCTGCCGGCTGCTCTGTCTTATGAACAAGTGCCGCAGGGCGGAGAGGGAAGAGGGAGTGATCTCTACGAAGGGAAGAAGCCATTCGTTGTCCACATGTTCTCCAGGCTTGGCACTCGCTTCCTGAATATGATATAATCATTGGACTTCGTGGTAGCGGCATTCATCTGGTGGTGGAGAGATGAGTCACCGCGACGCTCTCCAAACTGCAGGAGGCGAAGCAGGGACTCTGGTGAAGACGTTGACGGGGCACTGCCGTGGAAGAGCTACGTCTTTGTTTCATCACGGCGCCATCAACTTCGTGGAAGAGCGCCGTCGAGATGAGAAGGGAGTCTAGGCGTCGGACAAGAAGCCGAGTCTTCATTCAGCTAGACAACAGCGATTGGGTGAGACAGTGGGTGCGCCAAGAGCTGCATTTTCAAGGCCGAAACGTCGGGAAGCAACTGGGAGATTTTGTGCAGTGATACAAAGAAACTCTGTGGTAGAACTCGACAGAGGGCGTCAAGTTGGACTCCGTCAAGCTACCAGGTGTAAGTATTGTATATAAAGCTTTCTTCGTTTTCAGTTTCCCAAAGTCTCTGCCATGTTCCTTGGGGTGGCCTATAGGGTTAGGCTTCACCCCACACCGATTGCTACAAGCAGAAAGTGCATCCACTGCAGAAAGTACAGTGCAGAAAGAGTAATAGTGACAACTGGCACGAGGTTTCAACCTGCAAGGTCAAGACAGCCAAATGCTGATACCGCTTCAAGAAGGGCTACATTGAAAAGGCAGGTGGAAAGAGAACAACAAAGAATTGCATCCCAATGCCAAGCAAGGCACGCACAGTGTTAACATACCTCTTTTGGACACGTCGATCATGGAGTCCCCCTACAAATTGCACGTAGCAAATGGACGATAGGTGTGTCTTAAATTGTGGGGGAGTCCCTCTACAATTCGAAGTCTATACCGGTGCAGCCTGCTCTTTGATCAGCGAAGTGGAATACAACCGAATGCGGCCAAAACATTCCCCGGAGTTGTCAAAAAAACCAGGTCGAGAGAAGATCCATGTGTTCTAGGCTCTGTGCAAGTTTGCGTCTGAACTTGACGACGAAACTGCTGCTGTCGTAACTGTCAACACCACCAAGGGACTGTTCAAGGTGAAACAGCTTCCGTTTGGAACTTACGTTGCACTGGCCATCTTCCAGCGCATGATGGCTACCACACTGGCCGGAATCCCTGGGGTGAGTGTTTACCTTGAAGACATCATTGCCAGCGGGAAAGATGCCCTTGAGCATGCAAAACGTCTAAACCAGGTTCTAACAAGGCTGAGCAAGGCATCTCTGTGCCTCAAGGAAGAAAAGTGCCGCTTTGGCATACAGCCGGTTGAGTTTCTAAGACTCAGAATTGATGCTAATGGTCACACACCACTGAAAAGGTGCAAGCTATCCTTCAGGCACCCAAACTAACCAACAAGACAGCTCTTCCAGCTTTCCTCGAGCTTCTCGCATTCTACGACCGTTTCTTGGAAACTAGAGCGACTGTTGCCGCAGAGCTGTACAAGCTCGCCCGTTACGATGAGACAAAGCCACTTGTTCTGTCGGTAGATGTGTCACTGTATGGAATCAATGCCACGCTTACCCAGGAAAATGAAGTTGGCAGAGAGGCTCCCATAGCTTTCACAATGCTAGCCCTGGGGCCTGCAAAAAAGGTTACTTTCAGCTCGACAGTTGCTTGACCGTAATTTTCGACCCAAGTCATTTTCATCAGTACATTGCTGGCCGACAAGTGCCCGTTATAACAGATCACCAGCCTCTTCTCTTCACCCAGCAGGCTGCCGCTTCTGGCACAGGTCTACGAGCCCTGTTCCCCGGCAGACATTCTCATGTTAGCCTACACACCAAGATTCAAACTGTCGCCACGTCAACTCGCAGAAATGACCTGACACAATCCAGTATTGTCGCGGGAGTTAGCAGTTGTTTCATGGGGACAACTACATAAACTGCCAAAGCAACAGTTCTCACGGTATTGCAAACTCGGAACAGAGCTTTCTGTGCAAGAAAACTGTCTCATCAAAGGCTCCAGAGTGGTCATTCTCACAAAGGCCAGGAAGGAAGTGCTCGACCTGGCACATACAGGTCACAGAGGAGTAGTAGCCATGAAGGCACGTGCATGAGGTTATTTTCCGTGGCCCGGTGTCGACAGTGACGTTGAAAGACTTGCTAAAAGCTATGTAACTTGTCGGCAGCTCTAGAAGGCACCACCCAAGGTGCCCTTCCCCGACTGGAACCGCGCGACGAAACTTTGGCACACAATTCTCGCCGACTTCGCCAGCCCCATGGAAGGAAAGATGCTACCACTTGTTGTCGACGCATACAGCAAATGGTTAGAAGTATGCAGCATGCTCAACGTACAGTCAGTCACACTCAATGAGGAATTGGGGAACCTTTTCGCATCCCTGAAATGATTGTGACGTAGGACCGTCCTTTGTTTCGTCATATGTCAAAGCCTTCCTCAAAAGAAATGGGGTCACATATATTACAGGTGCCCCGTACCATCCCGTTAAAAATGGACAAGCAGAAAGAATGGTTTTGGAAACGAAGCAGGCATTGGCGAAAAACCAGACCGGCACGTTTTCATGCTGGTTGGTAAGATTCCTGCTAAACAGCACACAACAGTCTCCACCTCGACAGGCAAGACAGCAGTCGCGCTCATACGCCTACAGCCCCATGAGACTGAAAGAATGGCGTCCGACTGCCGTGCAGAGAAGTCATTGAGAGGAGTTGCCGTAGCGCAATCCATTCTCGCCTGCAACTTCAAGGGAAACCCTGCTTGGATGGAGAGAACAAGAACGAAGGGATTAGGACACGGGTCTTGGATGATAAAGTGCAAGAACGGAGCGGTTCGTCAAAAACTGGATCACATTAAACCCGGTACACAGAAGTACCAGACAGAGAAACCTTCATCAGCGCCTTGCCCCGTCCTTTTTTTTTTTCTGCTTGTCCTTTGCACTCTTGTCTCCTATATTTGAGAACCCTTCATCCGGTGACATGAGCAGGGAACCGGTACCAAGCCAACAACACACTATACTGGCTCTCCATGTTCTAGAGCCACCACCGGATACCCTTGCCTCGTCCAGGAAAGGTCGACAAACTACGCCCTAATCTCAAGGAAGCGCATCCACATGTTCAGACTCGAGAGTCGCAGCGCCTTCCAAAGAAGGAGAAAACAAGACAGCTGCGATAACAACTGCGGTGTCAAGATCCCAACGAGAAGGGTGCCCACCGGGGCTTTACGTGACTCCATGTAAGGAGGAAGGAATGTTATGTCTGCTCCTGGGGGGGGGGGTGAGGAAAGGCTGATGCTCATGCACCTCACAGGAATGCACATAGAGCTGTCGTCTCACAAACCCTGCACCCTGTCGGAGCTCGAAAGATTGGGCATCCCGAGCCTTACGGGGACTGCGTCTGGTGGGGGAGAAGTGCACCCGGTGGTCTTCTTGCGAACCGGCTGACCCTCGCTGCCACCAGGTCTTCCTTCGGTGGCCTGTCGGTGCTCTGGTTCAGGCAGGACGGGTCTGGCTTCTCCGCATCGAGCTCAAAGGCTTGTCTCAGAGACCCCATCTCCTCACAGACCACCACAGCCTGAGCCAGGAGCTTGGTGACGTAGCCTGCAGGATCAAATTTTAACATTAAGCATTTTTCCAATGGTAGCACTTAGATAACAATGTTACAATGCAAAAAAGGCAGGACCAAAAAACAGTGTTCGCGCTTAGGGTAATTTGTGTTCAGAATATTCTTTACAATGATAAACCGTAACAGGCATCAGTATTTTTTTTTGTTTACATGCCCTGCTGTCTGCAAAAAGAAGTTTGCAAGGCTGACATCTCTTTCCCTCCTCAGCTATCCATTTTTTTTCTTCAAAGAATAATCAGAGTTATCAATTAAAAAATAATAAAAATAAATGTGTATCATTTGTGCATAGATAACTAATTTAGTCTTCCTAAGAACAACAAAAAGATTCCAACCCACAAAAATGGTGAAGTTGGAAAAACGAAAAAAAAAACAACCATGAAACCAATACAGAAGTGAAAATTGTACATCACAGAAAATGCACGAGTATGCCTCAGTAAGACAAATGCATGAACGAGAAAAGGAATATCTGGTTCTCAGCTGCCTGTCATGGTTCATCTAATAAAACATTAATTTAGATACTCTCACAGTAAATACCGTACTCATGTATAAGCCATCCTCGTGCGTAACCCGCACCCCCCCCCCCCCCCCTTTGTGATGAAAAAATTCAAGAACAAATTATAAATATCCCGCACCCGTGCGGAATAAAAAAAAAAAGTGGTTTATACATGAGTATATACTACATCAAAATGATTAGTGCGCTAAATATTATTTACAAACTGTACATATTAGCTAGTCACTTGGTACGGAAATTGATCTGATAATGTTGCCATTAACTTGTAAGCATCACAGGTAGAAATGCTTTTTTTAGATTACCATATGTGGCCTTCGTTTTCTCGGGATGAGCAGCATGGTGCCCTTTTCTGGCTTTCGGGGACTTCAGCTTCCACTGCTTCTGACCGGCTTGGGTGGTGGCCTGCTCCCGGTTGCCATTTTCGTTATAGTGGAGCGCAGCTATGCGGGTCCTGCAATAGAAAATGTGATCCAACAAGGTATGGAGCAGATCCCAAAAGTGGTGTGTGCCTGCTCGCTGCCTTTGTCAGCACTTCACAACCTGTGCATTTTTAGGTTTACCCCAGCAGTGAGGATTGCTAGTCCCATGAGAATCTTTGTTCCGCCAGCTTTCTGTAGCATTGAATAATTTTATACTCTGTTCTATCTGCTAACAGCTACAGTTGTGAACTGGCAGTATGTTATAGCATAGAAGACACCAAAATATAATGTCAAATAGTGAGAGTTTAGTGATCCTTATGGGTCACTTCACAACAAAAGAAAATGGAGTTTTAGAAATTTTATTTTAAAATGGTAAGCAGTGCACCAAAATGCATGTCACACACATAGATGGAACTTCCATATTTTGCGATGGAGCAACACCTCGGAATTCTTTTCTGGATAATTCATTCATTTACATACCTGGCAAGCATGCCTTTTGGGCGAAATGCAGCCCACTTTGGTGCAAAACCATTCAGCACGCTATGGAAAGATTCCAAAGCGTACGTCTGGGTGTGTGGAGACAGTTGGCGTAGGTCCTTGAGCAAGGACTTGCTCGTCACCACGTCAACGAACCGGGCATGCGCAGGCGTGTCTAGAACAAAAAGAAAAAACACGACCAAGGTTTGCTGTGGAAAAATTTAGTTGATTCAGGTTTTGTATGTTCACCTAAAAATCTTTGTAAATATTATCGTATTATACTTCTTAAAGGCCATCTCCTTTGCCATTTACACTCTGTAGAACACTGAGAGATATGTGAAACACTTATTCACCTGGCACCAGCCATTCGCCTTCTTCGATGGGGTTGTGGAAGCATGTGGTGTAGATGCCAGGGTGGTCTGTGTGGATGTTGACCACGTGCCTGGTCATGCTGCACCAGGCATCCACGAGAAGTTGAGCGTTGCCCTGGCTAGCTGCGGCACACCAATACAAGTGGTTCACTGCTGGTTGGGCCCAGTCAGCAATCGACCCGCAGTCCTGGCTCTTGCCTGCAGCATTGAGGTTCTTCTTGACGCCTGCAAATTGACGAGTGCACAAAATCAGCTGTAGTCTGTCTTTTTCCAATATCCGGTCTACAAGAAAACATTCACCACCTTACACAGAACGCATATTTATGCTCTTTGTGAGAGGTGCCTCAGATCATTGGACTTGAATGTAAGTTTACTATTTCATTTCGACTTTCATTACCAACTGCCATGCCAGAACAGGGGCAAGCAATATGAGAGAAAAGGGCACAGGTGAAGATTGGTATCGCTGTATAGTTTTTACCCTATTCTGAACACAATCTGTTCGTAAAGCAAGCCTTAAATGACGATATAAACAATAATTACAATTCTAAATGTAAAGTAAATATGAATATAGTAGTGCTTTCTCTCAAATTTAAAACCACTTCAGCTTTTCTTTTGTAAAGCCCTACAATGAAAAAAATATATATCATCACAACAAAATGTAAATGCCTATAGTTATTCTAGACAAACAGTAGTCGCCGACATACCAAGGACACCTTGTTAGAAAGGTCTCTTGTGTTTTACATTCACACTTGCTGACAAACTTGTCTTTCTGTCAACAAGCGAAACGTTGCTCGAATCGAGTCAAGCGGAACATTGCTCGAGCCTAGCTTTCGCCAATTTGGCAAGCAGCGTAGACTGGCGAAGTTGAAGAGGATCATAACATGTGATATTTACTTTTTGAAACGTGCCATACGTCGAAGTAGTGCAGGATGGCCGGTTCTTTTTCCCGCATGTGTTTCCCGATGGAACGGTGCCTGTCGGTGGCCAGGGACTGCACAGTGAGCTGGTTGTCCCTTGTGAAAGCAAGGGACCGCACAAGACCTTCCTTTTCCATGTGCCCGCTGCAGCGCACCGCTTCGCACTGCAAAGTTTCCGTAAAGTGGCGCAAGTAGTTTTTCAGTTTCTGCAATGATTATCACATATATTTTACATATTCAAGTATTCTGCCGCCTCACATTTTCTGAACTATTTGCTTTCTAAATAAAATACCTTCTGACATCTAGCTTTGGACAGATATCTCATTTCACAGCTTGGCTCCAATTTTAGACCATTGTCATGTTAGTAAGACAGTGGATCAGATAGACCTGCTAAATTTCCTTCTGATACTTATAGACCTACACGCTGTTTACAAACAAGCCTGTGTTGGCCGACACCAGGTGTGGGCACAGTGTGTATGCAGAAACAAAATTTGCGTGAAGTAAAGCGTTTGCACATGCGCAGTGCCGTCGACAGCGCCACCGCAGCTGCGTGATGTCAGGGCTGCGTGTTGGTCTATAGGCAAAGGTGTAGAAATTGATTCAAAGGACAGGATAGGTGTGCAGGAGACTGCAGGATGACCATAATACCTGACATGAAATTGTAACTATTTCAGATAAACCCGGACTACAGACCCCAGCGAGCATTTTTTATAATCACAGTGATTGATCAAACGCCATGGAGCTCTGTTTCTTCCACAAGAGCACTGAATGATATTGCTCGGCCGCAAAATGTGTCAGTATAAATAACTAGGTGTAGCTGAAGGCTTCAATATGCATCTGATTACGAAGCTACTGTAAGGAGGTGGTAGTAATCATTCCTCACCTCTCCAACCTGAATTTGCTCAAAGTGCAGGATCTTGTTGACAGAGGGCACGTGCAGGGAATACGTTAGGTATTTGGCACTAAAGCCAGGAGAGTCACACCTCCCATCACCAGCGAGGTCGAGGGGCTGGTCACGGAGCTCTTCCATCAGCTTCTCTTGCTCGTCTCTCCACACCTGTGAAAATTGATACTAAAATGTGCGATAATGACATAAAAAGTGCAGTGAAACACTGCATCGGGAGAAAAAAACATGTGAGATAATGAAAGAAGTGGCATCATATTCACCTCTTCAACAGCTGGGACCAAAATTGCTCGCTGGTAGTTGAAGTAGGTCTTTTTTGAGAAGACCTGGATGTTCATCAACTGGAACAGGCGCAGCGTTCTGGTTGGGGAGGCACCCGTGAAGAGCACGAGAGATGTGAGGAGCAGGTTCCCCGCCCCCCTGCCGTTGATGTACGGTTGGCTGTCCCAGCGGTTCGTGTGCCCTGCAGGGCAAGAGGTCCGTACCACGAGCAGGGTGCCAACCCCCTTCATGGAGACGTCGCAAGGGCTGTAGCAAGTCTTGCATACAGAAAACAGCTGTTCGAGGCAACTCTCGAATACCAAGAACTTCCGCTCCTGGTACCCAGGTTCTGCACTTGTGAAGGTGTCCTTCCTGTAAAAGTTGTGAATATTTAGTGTTTGACACTCATTTCTGTGCTCAGCTTATCAACAAAAAACAGAACATTCTTGCCTTACATTGACACTGCATATTTTTTTTTTGGTGTCTATTTATAGGAAAAGTTTATGTCTACTTATGATTGTTAATCTAATTTGTAAAAAAATTTGCATCTCAGCTATATACTGTAAGTAGATGCTTTGAACAGTGATTATCGGTGAAAACTACCGTATTTACTCGCATATTGGTCGATACGTCGTATAGGTCGACCCCCTAACTTCGGGACCCCCGAAAAAAAAAAAAAAAAGTTGAAAAATATAATACCGGGATTCGCGTATTGGTCGACCCCCCAGTTTTGATGAGGCGATTTTTGAAAAACAGGTCGACCTATACGCGAGTAAATACGGTAATTGCTTGGGGTTGTGTGAATGAATGGACACAAAAAAACACATACTATAAGGGCTGGAATTTTTTCTCGGCTCACAATACTAGAACGAGTTTTAAATTTAATTTACAATTTGTGGGCACCCTTATAAATTATTATGCTTCATGCTAACCATAATGCGGCAATGCTAGAAACTGGCAGTGTACTCTGTATAATTACCCGTAGCGTTTTACTTTCTTTTTATATTGCTACCCTTCTCTGTGTGACAAAAACAATATAAGCATTCACCACAACGAAGGCGATTGGCTTTTGCTTTTTAACAAGGGTCATCCTATAACCACCAGTGGTTTCAAACATGATCATACCACTTGAATCTGAACAGAACAAATAGATATTGACTATCGTAGTGGCTGACTGACTGACCAAACTCTCATGTCCCTGCCCTTCAATGTCAGTGACTTCACTCACTCCAGAAAGACAGGGTATCCGACAATTGTCTAAATAAGAACGGCTCTGACAAAAATAGTCCTCAATTGGAGCAAATAGTTTCAGAAATCTCTGCTTGTCAGTTTAGACAGATTTTGTGCCTCCGACCACGGCGGATGCATGTTCATTTCAGTTGCGGCACACTTCCCAAATTTTCTTTTGCTGTGGCCCAATTTTAGATGTTTTATTTTGTAGCTACTGTAGTTTTCAAATGATAAATTAAAGGGACACTGACACACCCCAACAAATTTTATTTATGTTTTGCCAGGCGATCGATTATGGTGTCAGAAGACTACCGAATCAATATTTTGGTACGACGTCACATATATTTTTAATAAAGTAAAAAAAAAAAACAGCTCAAAACCGAAACCAAACTGGGGAGGAAGAATGGCTATAGAGGAGGAGAAATTTAAAAGGAGTCACAAGGCTGTGCCACTTTTTTTTTTTTTTTTCAATCGACGCATTTGTTGTTTTTTATAAGTCACAAAAAATAGATATCATATTTTTTGTCTATTTTTATTATTTAGTGTGTGCTTTCGATGACCAACGACTTTGATTATCTTTTGTTGTTGTGTCTAAACTATAGAAAACGGCACATCACATTGGAAAAGAGAGTGAGCACGACTCAAACCGGCCAGTTCTCGATAGGCAGTTTTCGGTTGGAAGAAAATCGAATTTCGAGAATTTCGAACAAATTGTGTTCGGGGTAGTTGGGGTCTAATGTGCCATCGACAAATAAAAACCTTCCCAGGCATAAATACCCTGTCAGTGTCCCTTTAAGCACTTCCATGTTCCTATAATGTCTGTTTCAAGCGAAGGAAAAACCATAATCTTACCCAACACAGCTTTCTTTGATGAACGGCTCGTACGTGGGATCCTTGTCCTCGTCATCGTCCTCCTCCTCCTCCTCCTCGTCGCTGTCATCGTCATCTGAAGCGCTGGGGACTGGGATCGATGTGCTGGCACTGATGGCTGTGTCACCGCTACCATCAGTCTGGACCCAGTCGCTGGTCACACCTTTTGCGAAGAAGTTTGCCTGTGTGCCTGAAGAAAGGGCACAGGTGTCAATATCTAACTCCTTATTCCGCCTGGGTTTGCGTAAGCTCCTGTTTCTGCTAAATGCACTCCGGCGCAAGCTCCATTTCTCAGCAAACGATGAACTTGAACAATATCTCCTGTTTGATCTGACAGCAAACAACGCTTCAGTATGAAATAGAAGTTAAATACACAAAAGGTGAAGAAAACCCGGGGCTGCACATGCACACTTCAAATGTGCCGTTATATTTTGGGCTGTCACCTTGCATGAGTAAAGCTATACGCACGACGCCGTGCACCTTGACTGGAAATGGAAAGTCTAAAAGCTACGTCGCTGCTCCTATGGTCCCCCCCCCCCCCCCCCGCCCCTGACGTAATTACCTTGCGAAAAACAAGTTGGATGGTGTTTGTAAAAAGCATGGTGGAGGCTTGAAATCAATGCGCTCTAAAACCAACACTGCCAACACTGTCCAATTTGAAGTTATCACATTAGTCTTATTTCCGTCGATGAGAAAACCTTTGCTGATGTCATAGACAGCTTTCGGCCAATCGTGGCAGGCCGACCGCTGCGACGCTTTCGATCGCTCACGATTTCATTGTCATCCTATCGATAAAGCGCACAATATCATGGCATATGGAACTAATCATGCACATATTTTAATCGTTTTAATCTCTAATCATGCACATATTTTAATCGTTTTAATCTCTAATCATGCACATATTTTAATCGTTTTAATCTACCACGTGACGTCAAGTAGACTAATGAAGGCTGCTCCAGTTTCATGCCCCGAGTGGGCTAACGCGTCTGAGCTCGGAGTGGAGCGAAAGCTTGCGCTGGGAACCTCCCGGATCGATACCCGCCGTTTCGATCTGGATGAGTTTCTTACCGGCACGCGTTCGCGTGATCACTACTGCGTGATGTACGTTAAAAGCCCCAGGCTAGCGGTTGTACCGCACTGGCTAAATTTCTCATCTACAGCTAAGAGACCGATTACCCGTTGAGACGCATCTCCGTAAAGGCTGTATAAACATACAGAGCAAACCAATTTTATGCCTACCGACGGTCTGCTTTCCCCGCCGAGGGTCTGTTCCCACGGAAGCGTTTCTCACGGCAGGCGGCTGAGGCGGCCTCGGGATCTCAGCAGACGTCTGAACAGCTGCGTCGTGTGTGGTTGCTCGGGGACCGCAACGGCAGCAGTCCTCGCAAGGCTCACGAGGTGCGTCGCCCTCGAAGCAGTACAGGTCATCAACCGGCTCATCACCCTGGAAAACCGAAACTTCTGATAAAACCTCTGCTGTAAATACCGTTCACGAAAAAAAAAAAAAGCACCGCTTACCAAAGTTCTGCGACGTTTCAGCGTTGTTTCGTTCGCTGGGGGGATGGTAGGCTTCGTCGCGGGGGGCAGTCGAAGAGTAGGAACTGCGTCCGGCTTCAGGAGGGCTCTCGGCATCGTCTGCCCGGCATCCCGAAGGATACTTCTTATACAACGGTAGTCCCGATTCTCGTCGAAGTGATCGGAGCATACGCGCACGTCTGTCTTCCCAGGGTCTCTTCCGATCCTCCGACACCACTCACTCCTGAGTGGTTCCTCGAGCGGGAGGCGATGATATGTGAGACTTTTGCCTCGGATCCGTGGACTTTTCAAGTCACGGTTCGGGCACAGCAGAACACAACACGCAGTTGGCATCGCCGGCGGCCGCGGCGGGCAGTCGAAGTCGAAGTCGAGGTCGAGAAACCAGGAATGATAACAACACCACGATACCCGGACCACGACGAACGGACTCCGTCGAGCGAGGGAAAGACAAAACTTCCGGGTGTCCGGGTTGCTCGTGTAGCCGCCGTAGGCGCCTCGGGCGTCGACGGATGACGGCGACGGCAGGTTTTGTTGACTTTTGGCTTTTGAAGCGTTTATGCATGCCTAAACAACAAGATTTTTAAAACTTAACCTTAAATCAAGCTTACAATTGCCTAACACTATCACTTACAAAAACCACTCCGAGTGACGTCACACCACAGGTTCCATTTGCGGCCACCATGTGGCCGCAGGTTGGGAAAAAAAGCGCTCTTTATTTTGCGATTACGCAGCGAAATAGAGGTATTTTGGGATATGGTGGCACTTTTTCTCTTACTTATGCCGAAGTAAACAATATAAAAAATACAAGCTGCAAATTCGTTCAGTGTTAAAATCATTGCACCGCCCCTTTAAGATAACTTTGTTGTCGTGCGTGGCCAGGGCACGGTTTGTGGAGCAGCTTTCTAGAGAATTCAAGTCATGGCGGTATAGGCCGCCAATCACTGGGCTTGAAGAATGCACAGCTCTTCATCATGCCATTGAGCTATTCTCCGGACAAGCGGTGAGCGAGAACACCGCAGCCAACAGAGCGTGGATTCAAACGTGCAAAAACAAAGCATTATTACGAACGAAATGGTAGAGTATAAATTAGGCGTAACCTCCGCCTCTTCCGAAAGGTTAGCTGTGCAGGTTCGTTTCCTGCATGCCCACTGTGAGTTCTTTAATATACCGATGGTGCATGCTTTTGAATTACAAGCATTTAACACAATCCATGCAGATTTAGCAATTAGGGATACGTAAAAGATGCTGAGAAATCTCAAAGCTCGCTTGAACATTTCAGCAATCGACAAAAAGACTGAACGTCAGTTGCAACATGGGAACAGCATATATATATATACATGTTTGTTTTCATGTAAATGAACATCGTACTTCAATATTTCTAATTATGCACACATAACGTAGGAAAACCTTTAATTCAAGATTGTTGAAATATAACCTGCCCAAGTTTAGATCTTTCTCTGTTGCTTTTTACCTGAGGCTATATCCATATTATGTTGCATGAATATCTTGCTACTGTGTTCAAAAAGAGTATCAAAAACTTTTCACTCGTTCGACATACTCTCCGTTAGACGTAGTAACTCGATACAATGCTTATATACGCTTATTGACTACGTTTTAACCCACTTCACATTAAAGCGCCGTTCCCACATATGCAACCGAGTTAGACCGAGAGAAACCAGACCGGTTTTTAAGCATCCAGCGACGTTTTAGGACCAGCTCCGCTGCAGCCCATCCGGTCCTAAGACGTCGCAAGAGGCTTAAAAACCGGTCTGGTCTCTCTCGGTCTTAGTCGGTTGCATGTGTGTGAACGGCGCTTTACCTCTACAGTCATCGTGCGTTCACGATGTGTATGCCCTAATTTATTTTTACTCGTGCAGTGGAGGCACAGTATATGAATCAATAATTTTCAGCCTTCCTCCTCCTAACACCACGTTTAAAAATCTTAAATGCCAATACAAGGAATATTAAAACCGATATAAGAGTGAAAGTAAGTGCGACAGATCACTATGTGTTTTTATTATATTTTTATAAATTATTTTAAGATGCGTTAATAAACATAAAACCTAACATATAACTCAACTATATAAATTCATCCGAAGTCGAATTGCCTACTTGTTTTTGACCGCAGGATGGCCGTCGCTGCAGGGCTACTAACAATCGTGTTTCACATTGTTCGTGCATTTACGGCCCTCGCACTTATTTATTGGTATCGGAACTGTGATCCCCTGACCACGGGAGATGTCACCACAGTAGATCAGGTATGTAAGAAAGAAGTGTGTACTGTTAGAAAGCAGGACAATCACATTTGTAAAAAGAAGCGTGATTGTGCTTCTGCATGACAAAAAAAAAGAAAAAAAACAACGTGTCCACAATATTGTCCTGCCATTAATATTAATTTTGATTAAGACTAAAGAAAAAAATATTGCTATCGACATAAAAAGTATATACCAACGTTACTAAAACACTCAGTTGGGAAACTCCCATAGAGACAGCTTTGAAAAAATGGCCCCAATCTGCCTCCGAGCACCGGGCTAATGACGAACACAACGCCACCATTTCTCCCGCAGCGGCCACTCGAAGAACTGCACGTGACTTGTATTTTGGCTTTAAAAGGGAGCGCTCCTCGAATTTTATCTCCGATAGGAACTTTTCAAGAATCCAGATGGCGCGCGCGTCGAAAGCGTGAAAAGGCGCTCTCCCTCCGAGGCGAATGAGTGCGTAACGTATCTGGGTCTAGCAGCGAAATGAGAGCTTATGTCCTTTAAAACTCCTCGGAAAAGAACGTAAACCACATTTTGGTTCATTACATTTGCATTTCCTTCAGTGTAGTCGAAACGCAACCAAAACGCCGCTAGTGACAGCCTTCACAGTGCTTCCGTGCCCCGAGAAATTCGCGGACGGCGCTTCACGTCTTCTTCGGTAGGGTGACGTAAATGACACGTGATGACGTCGCATTCGATGCTCGCAGCGGATTCGCGGGTTTGTGAGGCTCGTGCCGAGTCGCCCACGGCGGCGGCGGCGGCGGGCCGCGGCCGGCAGTCGCCCCGAGGGGCTAGAGGGTTGCGGTGTGCGGTCGGTGAATGTTCGCGGGGAGTGACTTCTCCGGAGGATTCGTAGAACTCTGAACGCCGATACGTTGTCCGTCCGGCGGTGACGGCTGTTGGCGCACGACCGCTCTGTTGCGGTCGTTATTGGTTGAGAAGGCCTAGACTTCTCAGTCGCGATATGTCAGCGCTGGCCTTCCCGAAGAGAGCCAAAATCAAGAGGTAAGAACTTTTTTTTTATGACGTCCCGATTCAGTTATGATTTCTGTCGCAAGTGATGAACATTTTCACTTTATCAGAATCGTGCGATTGCCACGATCAACTGAGAGTCACTTTGTGTACTTCAGGTTGGTGCGAACCACACACTGAATAAACGTATAGCTTCTATTGTATACAGATTGCTTCCAGATTCGGGTGTGTTCGAGGGACGAAGTACGTCGCTATCATTACCTAGTTTGAAATTTTCGTGAAAGCTCGCAACTGTTACTTGGTGTCCTGCATTGAACATAATTATTGACTCTGCTTTTAACCAATCTGCTATTTATACGTTCTAGCGCAAGACTTGGTCGGCTCGGCAAACAGTCTTATCGACTCCAGTTTGTGACCGCCTCCAGTGCTTCAACTTGGGCGGTCCCGAGCCTGAAGACAGCGCTAATCTGCAATCAAGGGACATGATGTTATCATTCTATGCGCAGGCCTTTGAAACATTAACTCGTTATCGTCTTCACTGTGTTGGGGTTGTGGAGAAAGAACGAAGTCCCGCGACAGTATTCCGAGTGAGGACAGGAACAACATGCGTTCTTTCAATTGAGGACGTCTCCACTTGCGTCTATTCTCCAAATTTAGACGAATTTCATCATTGCAATATTAAAATGCGACCGCGCAATGTGAATAAAATCTCCTGGGTGCTTGTTTTGCACTTGACTGACCACCAGCTTTCGTTTCTACATTTCTTGTCGTGTCTCTATAGTCGTTCCTAAGTTTGGTTACTTCTCCTCTAGTACTAAAATCCCTCTTTTGTACTCGAAAAAGTAAAGCTACAAAAATATGTTACGTGAAGGGTCTGATTTTCCACTACCCACTAAAAGAACGCATTAAAATGTGATGTTGCAAGCGTATTCTACATAAATAAAACGTAAAGGGGGCACCTAGCTTACTGATATTTGTGCGTCAATTATACATGCAGTTCTGTTATGTTATGCCGCGGCAGTTTTCTCTAGGACGACTCTGTCTTCAGATAAGAACGGCCGACCGTGTCCGGAGACAGCTTTTAATTTTGACCAGAAAAATGCATCTTGCTGCCTCAATGCCCAGAAAAACGGAGCCGGTCTTTGTTTTAGGAAAAAAAACAAAGTTACATTCAAGAAAACAAGTCAGAAACACCTGCTCGATCTGAAGCGTTGTCTGTGGATTTAGCAAAATTGGCATTTCAGGCAGCTCTCCCCCAAAATGTGTTGTGGCTGCTGGCCCGTATCGGGATGGTTGACCCAAATTATTTATCACGACGTACGTGTCGACGTCGTTATTTTGAAATAAAAAATCGCAGAGACGACGGCACATTGAGCCATACTGCGAAAGTTTTAACTTTTTTTGGTCCGCATTTATTCAAGCCCGTTTTCAAAGTTTGCCAGCGTGTTGTCCTCTATTTGGCTATAAATATTGTTGTCCTCATTAGCAGGAAAAGTTTACGAAAAACGCTCAAATCGAGGCATTTTACTAAATATGCATACTTTTGCAAATCAAATAAAAAAATGCTACCTTCGATATTTTAACTATTCCAAAATAACGCTAATGGCATCTATGAGCATGATGTGCAAAAATATTATTGCATTGTTTCTGTGTCTTATACATACCCGTAGTTGACAAGTTCATAATTTTTGCAGCCCGTAAGAGTGCTCCGGGGTGGTCAGATTGACAGTGCAGGGGTGGGCGATAGTTTCTAAGTGATAATGTTTAGCAAGTTATTTTTTCTTTGTACAAGATTTTAAAAAAGTACGCATGAGCCGGAGCAATCGAGAGAC